TGAATTTTACAATGTAATAATGATATACACATGTTTATATGATTTGGATAAAATTCTGCATTTGACAATCTTCAAAAGCACGTGACCATACAAATTTTATTGCATTTTTGATTGGAAATTTTTTTCTCAAAAAATGGCGGTGTAGAACAAAAAGTTCAGCGACTAAGTGACTTGCACTATACACTGTCTATAACGGATTAAAAGTTTGGTCCAATTTTTACTATTTGAAATCTCTTTTTTATAATGGATATTATTAATTAAACTTTTTACGGATTGTATCTGAAAACTCCATGTGGAAAATGTGGAAATGTAATAGGGCGATCTGCAACATATATAGCTTATTTTCAGCATTCTTCGGGTAGTTGAGGAGTACCGAGGTTTCAGTCAAACGTTGCTTATTATGTACATATAAGTAACACTGCCTAAAAAATTTACTCGTTTATTGTTATTATTATTATGCATGAAAATTTGTGTAACATAAAAGTTCAAAATTTCTTTTAAATACAAAAGACGGATAGTATTTTACTCACATTTTTATTAAATCATCTTTTTCTATAAATTAAATTTTTTTATTCTCATCAATTAAATATTATTACACAAATAACAATACTTTGGTTGATAAATGTCAACACTTTATATTTGGTTAATCGATAACAATCGTTAACACTACACTTTTACGTTCACACTCTAACACTAATAAAAAAATCATTGGCCCTTACGTTTAACTTAAATACTTGATCACTTTTACAAACGTAAACAAAAACGTTTGCAATTAATAAAGACTTCGAAACTAAACGTGGACCGTTTCTTGAAAACAAACAAACCTTTGCTTCTTTATTAAGCAAAAACCTCACTAGCGTTTTATTTTTTTCGGAAGAAGAAAAAACGACTGTTAAAAGAAAATTAACGAGCCTTTAAACGGCCAAAGAAAAGTAAACGTAAATAAAAAGGAACTTTAGAAAAACCTTTGTCGCTTTTTAAAAGGGACACATTATTTATTGTAAATCGTACCATAAAGCGTGCTTACAGATCGTTGAAGCTTCTAGAAAGACCATTTTACACGGTTGTTTAAATGATAAGTCAAAGCATAGAAAAAACATCAAAAATATTAAAATTGCAATTAAAATCATTAAAATCGCGATTATCAAATATAAAATTGCAATTATCAAAAATAAATGTAGAATATATTTCAGAAAATGAAAAAAGGTTTAAACATCAACTTAAAAGGGAAAATATTTTATATGATTATAATTCTTTTCAAAATATTGAATTAATTGATGGTGGATCATTTGGAACAATTTATCGTGCATCTTCGAAGCATCATCAAGAACCTGTGGCATTAAAATCCATTAATATTGATCATTCTTTTGAACAACTTCTTAATGAGGTAATAAATAGGTAAATCTTTTATCTAATAAATTTATATATATTAACAATTGATTTTTTAAAGGCAAAACAACATTGTAGAGTAGAACATTACAGTAATATATTAGGATTTTATGGCATAACAAAAGAAAGTATGTTGACTTTTTATTATTAAATTATTGTTTGTTTATAATGTATTTCATTGTGCTTTGTTAATTTGAATTTTTTACATATTATTATTAAAGAACATAAGAAGAATTACATGTTTGTATTAGAGTATGCAAACAATGGTAATTTATGTGATTATTTAAAATCTAATTTCAATACAATGGATTGGAATATCAAATTAAAATTTGCAAAACAAATTGTAAGTGCTGTAAGACATTTGCATGAAAATAAAATAGTACATAGAGATTTGGTATGTATAAACATCATTATTTACATTAATTATTTTAATAATAATAACTAACATTAATATTTTTAATAGCATTCTAAAAATATTCTTATTAATAATGGAAATATTAAAATTTGTGATTTTGGAATCTCAAAATCCTTATTGGATTCTTCAATTGAGGCTTCTAAAAGATTAGGTACAATAAGATACTCAGATCCACAATATTTAGGGAATATTGAAAGTTATAGTCGCAATGAAAAATCAGATATTTATAGTATTGGAGTGCTTTTATGGGAAATTTCAAGTGGTCATGCTCCATTTGCAGATAAGTCAATCACATCCAAATGTATAATAGTTGCCATAATATTAGGTGAACGTGAAACAATAATCAAGGGAACTCCAAAGAAATATGCAGAAATATATACAGGTAATAATGAGAAAGTGATTACATAACCACTGGCTATAATTTTTTCAATGAACCGTTTATACCAATATTAAAATTATTATTTTTTTATAAAGCATGTTGGCAAGGAAAGCCAGATCTCCGTCCTCATATTCATGAAGTTATGCAGGATTTGGACAGTGTAGATATAACTAACACTGTTGAAGATATTGTAGATCAAACTAATAATGAATTACAAATTGATGGTTTATTAAATTCAACAGAACCTTCATTCTCAGCACAAATTGATAGTTTAAATAACCATTTAAGGGAGGGTAAATTAAAAAATGATTTATTATATTCAACTGAATTTCCATTATCTGCATGACTGATATTTTAAACAACCACTTAAATAAGAAAAATAAGAAAAATATGCAATATATGAAAGTGTATAATATTTAGATAAAATAGATAGATGTATTATTAAACATGCACAGATGTATGATTATAGATTTATTATCTTATAATTCTGTCAATTTCTAATTTTTCATTTAATTATTCAAATCATTTGTTTCATTCATTTTATTCAAATTATTTATTCCATCTGCTGCATCTATTGGAATTTTTATTTTTGTATTAGGAATATGAATGACAAAATCAGGTTTTAGATTATTTATATTATCTTTTTTGGAATATTCATCCATTTCACTCATTTATTTGTTTCATTGATTTTAGTGTTCCATGTCGCAATCCAAAAAAGGAAACCAAAGTGGTCGCAAAGGTGATTGCAACCAGGTGTCGCAAACCATTTTTATATGTCGCAAATATGGTTGCAACCATCACCAAGAATTGCGACCAGCATCTATAATTGATTTCATTCATTTCATTTAGTTTGTTTATTTTGTTTGAAATCTTTATTTTATTCAAGATATATTATGAAATTATCTAATAAGAAATTAAAATAAAAAAATTATAAGCTAATAAGCTAAGACTGAAACAAGATTCATGTTTTTTTATAAATAGCAATCTCTTGGATATAAACTTGATCTTTTAAAAGTTATTTTGTTTCCTGCATTGAAACAGATGTTGCACAAAAACCCAAGTAATAAAGATAATATTGCAGATTCTACCATTTCAATATATTAGTATGTTGTAGAGCTCCGAAACGAGTCGGGTTGACCCGAATGGGTCGGGTCGGGTCATGATTTAATTGACCCGGGTCAAACCCGGGTCAACATCATGTTATAATTTCCTTTAAAAGTTCAAAATTATTTTTGAAACTAGTATAGATACTAATAAATGAATAAAAATAAATGGCAAAATAACAATTTTGACATTAAAAAAATCAATAATTGATGCAAGTGTTTATGTAAAATAAAAATAATAATAAATTACGTTATTTATGGTGATCAGTGAAAACCTTATTTTTTTATTATTTAATTGTTATTGCTATTTCGTTATCATTATCATTATTATTATTATTTCATTATTATTATTACTATTGTCCCCGATTAAATTCGGGAGAGTGTATTTTAATTGGTGATAATAATTATTTTTGTTTTATGTGAATCAGAATGAATAGGGGATCAACGAATTAATTTTGTTATTAGCGAATAATTTTGGTCAAAGAAGATAAAAGTTTTAGATAAAATATTTCTATTTTATTTATTTAGTCGAAGCTAATTAACTTGTAAGAAAGTTGCTTTTACATTAGGTCGAAATCAAGTTCTTTATATACATGTTCTTTACATATTGGCCCGAATTGCGCGAATCCGCCTGTTTTGAAGAATCGTCACTAATCTCCACTAAATAAAGTTAAATAAATATGAATGTGCCACAGATTGATTAATAATAATTAAATACGCGAAACGTAACGCGAATTCAGATGATAATAGAATTAATAAAAAATATAAATAAATAAAATTTAATTGACGATCCGTCTATGAATCGGTGAGTGTTATATAGTGATCGGCGGGGGAAAATTGACCAAAAAAACACTAATCGGTAACCTTTTATAAAAAAAAGTTACTATACTTTTGTCTTGCAAGATAAATTTTTTTTGTGCATACAAATAAAATAAATCTCAGAGAACATATTTATGTATTTTTTATTGCTATTAATTATGTAAAGAAAAAAGTTTTCTGTTTATGATATGTTGATTTTTTGAGTTTTTGTATTGAAAAAATCTGATTTTTCCGTGTAACATTTATTAATTTTTATAAATAAAGAAAATGCTTTAGACGTTCTAATAAAAAAATAAAAGTGATACGAAATGTTTATGATTATTTGAAATGTTTATGACTATTTGAAATGTTTAAGACTATTCGAAATTCCATCCATTACCAAAAGTCATGACATAGTCAAAAATGTATTTTTTAATTAAAAAAAAATTGATATATATAAATATATATATTATTGTATTTCCATGCTATTATTGTCGTTATTGTTGCTATTGTCTACATCTTTATTGTCACCATCAACTTCATCTTTATCATCATCATTATTGTCATCTTTTTATAAAATTTGCAATTTAATTTTTGAATAAATATATATTTAATAAAAAATTTATTTAATAAAAAATAGTATTTACTTGTTGTTAATATATATTTGACATGTTTTATTTCTGGTGCGAATGCCATGAATGTGGAATCATTTAAGGACACTTCACTCCATCTATTCCCAAGTTTTAAGTAACATCCAATAACATCATCTTTGAAATCCATAAATTCTTCTATACTGGTCAATAAAGTTTCAAATGTATCATGAGGATCAGTGATTACTGTTTGGAATTTTTTGTTGTTGTTGTGATATATGGTTAAATGCAAGGTTTTGATATTCATTATCAAAAGTTTGAAAAGCAGAGGAAAAACGAAAACAATTTTTTTTTATGTTTATAGAATAATATTACCTTTGTTAAACAGGACTTGTTGGGTAGTGTATTCGCATGGTTGTTAACAAACAATCTAGTAACATGCTCCTAGATGGGAGATTGAATACAATGGAAGACAAGTCCTATTATTATTTTTGAGTTTATTATTAAATAAAAAAAACTATGAATGCAATAATTAATATATACTATAGTTTTTTTTTTATTTTTTACTCAAAATATTCGATTTTTTGATTTTTTTTGCCAATCATTTAATATGAAATTTCCCCCGCATTTCCATAATAAATTGATTGACATTTCTCTGATTCATAGACGGATCATCAATTAAATTGTCCTGGAATTAAAGATTCGACCAAAAGATCTGCGCCAAAATCTAATTCTGGTAATATTTTCAATTAAAAAAAAACCACAGCATAAGCATAAATTAATTAAATTAATTAATAATGTCAAAAAGAAGAATTGAGATTGACAATT